CTTTACTTAACAACATCAACCAAAAAAAAAAAAAAGATATGATAAAGTTAAAAAATTAAAAGATATTATAGGTTTTTAAATATTTAAAATAAGGACACATGTGAAGAAAACTAAATATTTAAAGGTAGAAATTAAATCCAAAAGGAAAAAGCTATTCTTTCTGAAGTGGGATCTTGACCAATGCAGCAAAGAAAAATAAATAAAAGATTCAAGGAATGGAAAGAAAAACCAAAATTGTCATTATTTAGTTCATCTTATAATTTTGCACCCAAATCAAAAATAATGTATTTTTATAAATGATAACAGTTTAGTAAGGTTGCTGGATATAAAATCAACATACAAAAATCAACTATATGTCTGTATCCTAGCAATAAAGCGTTGGAAAGTCAAAATTAAAAACATCACAAAATAGCAAGTATCTAGGAATAAATCTATTAAAAATGCACATGATCTATAGAAAAAAAATTATGAGCAATAGGAAAGAAGATATAACAACTGAGGAGATATACCATGTTCATGGATTAGAAGATTCAATGTAATAAATATGTTTATTCTCTCCAAATTGATTTGTAAAATTAATGAAAATCTAACCAAAATTTCAAGAGTTTTTGTAGGATTTGACTAGATGACATAAATGTATGCTTGTGTGGGTCTACATACATGTGCACACAGTGGGTCAAGAATAACTAAAAGAAGGAAGAGAGGGGAGAAGAAGAAGAGGAGGAGGAGGAGGAGGAGGAGGAGGAGGAGGAGGGAGGAGGAGAAAAACTACCAGATATAAAAATCTGTTAGAAAGTTAGAGTAATGTAGAGATTGGAGTGTTTCATGCATGGGTAGAAAAATGAAGTAGTGATAAGTGGAGTAATGAGCCTGAAATCACTCATATGTAAGTGACCACTTGATATCCAACAGACAGAGGCAGCACTGTAGAGTATCATCTTCCTGTTGGAGCACTCTCTTGTTCCACTCACATTGCTCTACCTGCATACCACAGATTATGTGGCTTATAAGCAACAGAAGTTTGCTTCCCACAGTTATGGAGGCTGAAAAGTTCAAGATCAAGCCACCAGCAGATACAGTGTCCAGGAAAGGCCTGTTTTCTGATTGACATGCACCAGCCATTTTCTCCCTGCATCCACACTGGTTGAAGGAGCTAGGGTGCTTTGGGGGAATCTCTTTTATAGAGGCACTAATCCCACTCATGAGGACTTGCCCTTCATGACTTAATCACCTCCCCAAAACCCACTTTGAAACACCTAGACTCCCTAGAGAACAAAGTCTTCTCGTGCCACCCATGTGTGCTACCAAGACATGGATTCTGTCTCCTGTATCCCTGTCTGGAACAAACACCCAAGTCTTTGTCCTGAACACTGAAGTGTTAGTTCTGGCACACTGCATGTGCCCAATAAATAGGTGTGCCATTCTTTCCAAGTGCTACTACCAATAGTGAGTGCACCCCATGACAGGTCTGTAGGAGCCCTACACTTGAGCATTCATACTCTCTCAGAATCAAAGAGCCACGCATAGGAATCACTATGAGACAATGAGAAAAAGGCACAGGAGTGTGAAAGAGAGATGTGCCAGGGAGATTCTCTGGAGGCAGCACTTGCCAAACACTCATTCTGAGGCAGGGCTACAAACCACATGCTCGGGAGAGCCAGATAGAGTCTACCACCAGCAGATTTTGCATGACCCATAAGAATGAATTTTATATTTTTAAGGGTTACATTTTAGGTGGTTATATAAGTTCTTACATAATGTCCTCAATTTTGCCTCTTAACCAATAACATATTTACAATTTGATATTTTATAAAACTTTCCTGAACTCTCTTCCAAGGAATACAAAAAAAAAAAAATCCCAAGATAGCAATCAAAATCAGCAAACTTTGCTAAAATCTTAGTGTGTCCTACATGTGCTACACTCGGCAGACACCGTATAATCTTCACAGGATGCCACTAAAGAAGATATTATCTCCACTTTACAGAGGCAGAAACTGAGCCAGAGCAAAGTTAATAACTTATCCAGAGTCTCACAGCCAAGAAGCATAGAACCCGATCCCAAAAGCTGTCCTCTCAACCACCTGCTCAGCCACTGGTCCAAGTCCCTAGAGAAAGGATGTACAAGCAGAGGCTTAAACCACAGGACATCTGTGAGAAACACCCTTCCATCTGGCTGGAAAAAGGAAAGCAGAGGCCAGAAATGGGTCCAGCCATTGCCAAGTAGGAAATCATTTTGCAAGCTATACATGGTAAATGGCATGGCATATGGTAATTTCACTACAACACTGTTTATAGTAGCAAAAGATTGGAAACAACATAAATGTCCATCATTAGATGATTAAATGATGGAATATCCAATTGGTGGAACACTAAACAATCAAGGATATTCTTTATCTCTGTTGTACTAGTCAGCTATTGCTGTGTAACAAACTATTAAAAATTCTTAATGGCACACAACAAGCATTTCTTTCTCAAGTGTCTTGTTGATCAGCTGGGCTCAGTGCAATGGCTGTAATCTACAGACAGGGTCCACATCTGTTCCACTCCCTGCTCTGCCTCCTTGGACCAGTGACATATGTGTATATTTGGCAACCAGCAACACCTCTTAAGTCTCAGCTCAGCACTGGCACACGGTCCCTTCTCCTCATTCTATTGGCCTAAACAAGCCCATGGACCAGCCCAAAGTCAAGGGGCTTTCATCTGTTAAGAAGGGAACTGAAAAATTACATGGCAAAGAGTGTGGATATAGAGACCAGTAAGGTAACCAACCCTGTACATCATTACAGAACAACATCTAGAATGCAGGTGGGGCCCTGACACAACAGCTGCTCCTTAGTTATAGCGACAGCCAGATTCCTGTTCTCTCCCACAACACTAGAGCTCACCAAGGTGACTTCCACAACTGAGACAAGCCTTCAATGCCATCCACCACACAACTCGATGTGGTTAAGATCTGCACTGGAAACTGCCTTGGACATGACATCATGGACGCCTGCACTGCCCACCACCTTGAACTTGATATACTGGCCATCTGCACTGTCCATCACCCTGAACTTGATGTAGTGGCCATCTGTACTGTCCACCATCTTGAACTTGATGTAGTGAACATCTGCACTCCCCCAGCCTTCTGCCACATCTCTATCAAGACACCCCCAGCGTGGCCTGAGGAGATGCAGAGAGGAGGTTGACGCTGTCCTGAGAATGCCCAGCTGTGCACCTGAGACCCTGTCGTGCTCAGCACCACCCCACGGGTGCAGCTGCCTGACTCCAGGCCTGTCACTAACTGCTATGCCACCCCACACACACTCCCCAGAGCATCGTCACCCAGCTCTCTTCCACAGCTGCACATCAGGGACATCCCAGCTGCTCGTCCCCTCCCAGGCTCTCCTCAATCTTATATTTTTTAAAGAAGAATTTTCAGACTAAAATCAGAGCCACGGTGGCCGCCTTTGAAGTGAGTGATCCTATCCTAATAAAACCATGAGGCCAGTTAAGGAAAATAACCCCTAATGATCCAGGGGCAGGAGTTGGGGTGTCAGAAAAGGAGGCGACTTCAGACATCAGTAAGAAAAGAGAAGGAGAAAAATGGGCCTTCAAAAATCTTTCTCAAAATGTCTCCCCAAATTTTAATAACTTCAATTCTCAGCATGAAGAACTAACAGCGTTCAAACCAATCCCTCTGCTGAAACTACTAAACATCTGCAATAGATATATGTGAAAGCATTAGAATAAACAAGGTAGTGAAGAACAACCTGACCCAGCTCTTAACAGTGGCCAGAACCAGGGCACTACTAAGGCCGAGCTCAAAACCACCTCAGCCCTGCAGCGTTTGTGAGCAAGCATTTTACCAACCTGTTTGGATGGAAGGACAGAAAGTCAGCACCCCAGGCTCACTCAGGCTGAGGCCATCACCACCCAGTTAGTTCAGACTCTGGGAGAAACCCAGAAACACACACAGCCCCCACGCCACACTGGGTCCTCAACACAGCCTTCTGACAGCTAGTCCTCTCAGTGGGCAGGGGTCCATTTATTATTGACTTCTGGTTTTACTTTAGAATGTTCGTCCTACCCGTGATTTCTTTGCTGGTGGGTTCTTAGAAACACAGTGCCAAATCCCACATTGTACCTGGGGGAATATGAATTCCCTCCGTGACAGCTCACTGTGTGACACAGTTTATGGGTTCACATGGCAGCTGAAAATGAGTCCTGTCTGTGTGAGATGTTCTGCTTATTTTAAGCAGCAGTACTGCTAAGCAAACGTGTAGCGTCAGAGAACTTCGGGTTCAAATCTGTTTTGTCAACTGTAAACAGCATAACACAGTGTTGCTTTCCTCATTTGCAAAATATGGATAACAACAATGATAATAACACCCTCAATGCTCAGGGTGCACTGGGAGACGTCAAATACTAGGCCAAGTACCTGGCAATTTACTTAAGTATTTAACAAACGCAGCTATTGCTAGTATCAGCAGAAAGGCGATATTGGATATGATAGTTCAAAACAACAAAGAGGCAATAATAGTAATGGGATAGTTAATAATAGTAAACACTCAGCTAGTGGATCAGAGCTTGGCCATGAGTCTCAAACTAACTCCTTGGAACGTCCTGAGCTAAGTAGTTACAGGACTGATGTGTTCACATAGTGCAAGACGCCAGGCCAGTCCGCAGACTGTCAAAATAAAAGCCTTGATCTCTGATTCCAAAGGCCCCTGGGTCAGGTTGGGAGGTAAGAAGTGCACATTCAGGGCTGTGGGCAGCTAAGAGGGCCCACAAGAAAGGAAGTGATGTCTTGGGGAGGGGGAAGAGGCGGGAGAGCACCAAGGGCCCCAGGAGAGTCAGAAATGACCTGCATGAACCGATCCGAAAATCAGGCTGGGAGCTGGGACATGAGTGTCTTCACCACCTCGGTGGCTCCTCATGCTCAGGCTGCAGCAGCAGGGGCCTGTGCCTACCCTGCCCAGCTCGCCGACGGGGAGGGGCTCTCCAAGAGACTCACTTACTTTCTCTGACAACTTCTCCTGGCGCGGGGACACTGTGGTCGTCACTGGCAGTCTTGTCCAGACTCTTGCTTCTTCTGCCTTTTCTGTTGCTATTTTTCCCTAAAAAGAGAAAGATTCCTTTACTTCCACATGTCAGAGCCACCTGGGGTGTCAGAGCTCACCGTCCTCTCCTGCATGTCAGCCATCTCCAGCTCTGTGTCCCTGTCCCTAGAGACAGTGCCTTGGACTCTGGGGCATCTTGTAGGTAATGACAGCGTGTTAAACGCACACCTGGTGAAAGCTACGCTCCTGCACATTGTCATGATTATGAGACTGCAGAAGGCTCTTGCCCCCCCTGAGGCCCGGCCGTGCCACACACAGCTGCTGGAGCTGGAAGTGAAACCCTGGAGTTCTGACTCCAGCATTTCCCCCACAGGGGGCTGTCCCCACCTAAATCTCCCCAAGGCCCTGGCTTGGGAGCCTGCAGGTAATGATGCTGCCCATCTACTGGAAAGCCACCTCGCCGTGGCCCAAGAAGGCCGCCAGCTGCGCTCCTGCTTCTCCTGGCGCTGTGCTCCACTGACAGCCCCCGGCACCCTTCAGCTCATGCCTTCTCCCCCCAGAACTGGCATGTGCTGCTCAGCCTCCCCGAGTGCCCTTTCCCTCACTCCTGAACTAGCTCGCTCCTGCCCCCCTGCAAGTCTCAGCATGGCCTTGCCTCCTTAAGCTGGTTTTCCTGACCTCTCCACCTAAATCCAACCCTCCACTGATGGCTCTGATAGCCTCCAGTGAGGGTCCAGTTGCTTCCAGGCAGAGTCTGACGTAGGAGTTTGGGTGCATGTAAGGAACCAAGGGAGAGAGGTAAGGAGAGAAGCAGGGGGAGGCCAGGCAAGTGGCCAAGCAAGGCTGTGGTCTCCTCAGCCTGAGACTGGCTTGGCTAGTCACCCAGGAGCTCTGGAGCAGAAGCCGCACACACAGTTGTCCCCATCTGAGACGAGGGGCTGCCTCTGACTGCAGACTGACATCTGGGAAGTGGGAGATGCAGCCTCCACCAGGATTTCTCCAGGAAGAGAGGAGCTGTGAGCAACCAAGGCCCAGGCCCCAGAGCCTAGGGAATAGTTTGGGGAAAATGACAGGGGGCTCCAGTAGCCTCCTCACAGCTCCACACACCTGTCCTGTGTGCGTCATTACAGTGGCTCCATGACGTGTCTACTCAGAAGGCAGGGGCTGCTCCTGGCTCTGCTCACTGTCTACTGCCAGAGACTGTGCATAACAGGCTGGATGAATGACTGGGTGGCCAAAAGGACAAAAGCCAAAGGAGGGCAGATCCACGAGGAGAGACACTCGAAGAATAAGAGTCTCTAAATCAAAGAGACTTTAAACTGCAAGCTAAAATGTCAAAAACAGCTCGTGACTTGTACCAATTAATGAAGCTATTTCAGATTACTAGTCACCTGCTTCCCAAGAAAACCCTAGTTCTTCAAGAAATGGCAAGGAACATTGGGCCCAACCCAGGGAAATCCTCTTTTGTTGTACTGTTGGGTGATGCCCTCTGGGAATAGCTTTCATTTCTCATGTAAGTTGAAACAAAGTTACAAAACTGGGTGTCCCCTTTAGAGTCTAGAAGCCAGAAAACTGACACTTCATAATGGCTGGAAGAGGACCGACTCAGAGACCTGGTCACATCAATACCTGCTCAGTGTCACCATTGCAGCGGTCCTGATTCTGTGGGTGGGAATGTCATGGCCAGTGTCCACCACAGACAAGATGGCCACTTCCAAAAGAGCCTGACAAGCAGTGTGCCCAAAAGACCTTAGTTATTCAGGAAGATTGTAGCACAACTGTTGGTGACACTGAGCCTGGTGTGGGAGGGAGATAAGGGGTTCTACCAAAAAATAAAGGTTCACAAGATGAGACCAACATGTGGGAACAGGGTGCCCAGTGGTAGTGGCAAATAGTACTGAGATCACAGTCGGGAGGGCCCAGCCACCTTCTCTGGGCAGAGACCACAGTGGTCAGGGGCACCATCCTGAGAGCCTGGTCCAGTGTGGGGCCCACCCCGTGTGCCCTGCACGGCCAGGGACCTGCCTTACTCATCTGGGCTCCCTCTTCAGCAGAAGACACAGTGCCACCACAGAGAAAGCTCCAGGGAGGAAACGAAGCCATGTGTGTGACCCGTGGTCACCCCCGAACAAAAGAAGGCTTCTATCTTTTCGTGTCCAGCGTCTTCCCTGAGCCCCACACGTCACAGAGCACTGCTCCAGTTGCTAACAGCGAACCCGTGTGGCACGATTCACAGTCCACCAGGCATTCCTGCAGAGACTCCAGCCCTCCACCTTGGCAAAGTCTCCCAGGGGGCAGAAAGCTTATTAAGAAGAGCATTTTACAGATGGGGACACCGAGGCTCAGCAGGAGGAAGAGGTCTGCACAAGGTCACTGACGGAGCGGGAGGTGACGGAGCAGGAGATTGACTCCAAACCTGAGCCCTTCCCAGCTGGCTTGCAGGCTCCCTTCCACAGTCCCCTCCTCTCTGGAAGAAGAAGGGCAACATACGGTCTATACAGATGAAAGAAGAAAGTGGGGGGGGGGGGGAAGAGACTTCAGAGAGGAGCCAGAATCAAATCAGCATCTCCATCTGGGCCGCGTGACAACACAGAATTCCTTAAAAGTATCAAACTGAAGTGCCAGTGAGGGCCACATGTTCTATTCTGGTCTACAGTGACAAATATACTTCATCTGCTTAATAGAAAACCATTCCCCTCTCTGCACAAGGAGCTTACAGTAGCAACCCCCAGGCACCGAAAACCCTTGGCTTTCTGCAGCTTTGCCATTCCCCAGGAAATTCCAGCCCCAGAGGGCTCTGCGTTCCCTCTGGAGGAGGGACCTGGCCCAGGGCTCTGAGGTCCCTGCTGCTTCTCCTCAAGGAATGAACCCCCTTGAGGAGAAAAACCCTACCAAGTGGGTCCTCGGGAGCACCCCAGAAATGCAGCCTCAAGGCCTCAGGCAGACAGTCATCGGGGGTCCCTTAGCCAGGGCCAGGGGGACTCGGCAGGTGCACACACACACAGCCTCGAGGACAGTGGCTAGATATTCCTGCTCCACGTGGCTGTGAGCAGGAAGGGGCGGGATGCAGAGGGAACAGCCTTGGCCCATTCCTTTCTGAGGACGGGCAGCTCCCAGAGGAAACAAGGATCCCCAGAGGATCGCATGAATCCTGAGAGGCGGCTCAGTGGCTGAAGGATGTGTTCCCTTCCAGTCACTGGTGACCTCTGTGGTCTGGCGGGAAGGGGACACTGGGGACATGGAGGCAACAGTGAAACTTCCCAAGTATGTTTTATCAGGACCAGACCAAACCCAGGCAATCGGGCAACCAAAGAGCCCCTCCCCCTCCTCTCGTCTGCTGTGTCTTCCCTGAGAACCAGGTTGGTTGGCTCCTGCCCCTAGGGTCCAGCCTGTCATGCAGGAGACTGTCTCCACCAGACCAAGGCATGAGGGACAGTGGGGTCAGCTGGGGCCACAGGGCCTTTGTGGCCACCACTCCCATCCTCTATGCAGTCAGCAGTCCCTCCCTGACCCATAACCAGATGGAGTTCCTTATTTTTAATTTAAGGAGGCACAGTGGTACCAGCAGCAGGTAGGTGCAGGAGGGCACGGGTGGGCACAGGTAGGCACTGTGCAGTACCTGCCTGTTTCAGTTTGGGTTCCACCTGAACAGAGCTGGGGACAGGAAGGTCTGGAGAGCAGGACTGTGTCTGAGAGGTGATTTTAGGCAGCACAGTGAAAGGACAATACCAACAACTCAGGGGTGTGGCTGGCAGGACCCCTGGGGCACAACCTGGCAAGGACTTGAGGAACAGGGGAGAGGTGCCTCTGAGCTGCCTTCCACTGAGCACACTGGACACAGACCATCCAACGTCACAGATCCTCCAGAAGTGTGAGGGTATTATTGCCTCCACAGTGAGGAATCAAGGTTTGGAAATGTCACAAGCCCCTGTAAGTGGCAGAGCCAGACGCTAATGCCAGCTATGTGGATCCTGGGATCACCCCACACGCCTCACATGGACCAGGTATTCCAAATAAACATGCAACATCAGCGGTTCAAATTAAAATTTAAAGGTGTTCTATGCTGTGCCAACCATCCCATGATGCCCAATTCATAGTCAGTTGGCTGCTAGCCAGGTGGGGACACCAGTCCTTTCCCAGAGCCAGCCAAAGAAACCATGATCACAGAGCCACAGCCATAGTGGCAGAGACCTGAGTGGGCCACAGGGGGCTGAACCTTCATTGCTGACAATGCCAAGCGGGGTGCTCAGGGTCCCCAGCCCCCAGGGGACATCCAGATGATGCTCCATCTCAATCCAGGCTCCAAGGCCAGGCTTCCTGCATCCCAGCAGTGAAGGCACCAACCACCATGAAACCTGACAGCCATGGACCTTGAAGCACACAGGGAAGCATGAGCCACAGCATGCCCTGCATGAGCCATCCACAGGCTGTGTGTGAGAGCTCTGTGCATTTGTGCATACAAGGGGACTGGTCTGGCATTGCACACTGATTGGGCTGTGCCACACAAGTGCTCCTTTCCTCTCACTCTGCCTGTGATCCCACACAGCACCTGAGATGGGTGTGACTTGCCAAGATGTCAATCAATCTGCTGACCACAAGACATCGCAAAGCAAGACTCCACCTTTGAAACCCTACTCCCTGCCTTATTTGGTAAAGAACATTCCATCAAACTCCCTTGTGTGTTTCCCCCAAATAAAATAAAAAGAATCCGGGTGCACACTCTCTTTCCAGCGCTGCTCAGTGTGGAGCTGACCCTTGGGGTCGGAGAGCAGTCCCTCCCTCGATCTTAGAAACTCATGTTTGTGTGCTGCGTGCGTGGTTTCTTCGCCGTTTTCTTAGTTATTGATACAGCCAGTTCCTCTAACCCCAGCTCATCTCGTCAGCCCGGCCAGCTGGCGAAGGGTCCCCCACCCTCTATGATCCAAGCCTAAGCCCTTATTTCTGGAACCATGGGCACAGGAAGGAGAGAATGTGCCAATGCTAAGTTGACTTTGGAAAGCATTTTGGAAAGGGCGGTGGTCTCTTAGAAAGCTGATTTTAAAAAAATAAAAACATGTCCTTTCCCTTGGAGTTTTGTAGGAAGTTGACCTGGACAAAACACACTTATGATTAAACCCAGAGTGAGCCTGGAGGTTTACTTGTTGGTTGTTTGGGTGCTATAGTACCATCATGGTGATACTGAAATATTTATAAACACATTCTCCTAATCCTCACACTCCAGCTTTCCCAAGAGAAGACACTTCCATCCAAAGGCCACACTGCCCGATGCTGGGGGAGAGATGTAGCAAAGCTGAGAAGTGAAGCACCCTGTCCACCAACCGGTGGCAGCGCACACAACAGAAAGGCCTTTGTTGACAATCACACACGCTCAGATAACAGCTCTGGCTACTTCCCCCGCAATTGAGACACAACACAGTACAAAATGCAGACTGGATGATTCTGGGCACAGACATACGAGCAAACATGGCTCACTGCCCACTCTGCAAATTCCACGGGCTCAGGACGACAGTGGCCTCACTGCTGCCTGAAGAAACCGCAAACAAAGGGATACACAGGAACCCACCTGTAATGCTACATGTCTGAGCCTACTTCTAAGCCAAGGTGCCCTGGAGGGAGAAAAAAAAAAATCTTCCAATCACTTTTTCTGAGTCTTGTTTATTATTTTGTTTCTAACAGTTAAGTGGAGGGGGTGAGTTATGTAACTATGGTTTATTACTCTGTGCCATCTTATTCTCTAAAAAGAATAAGGTCACTGACCAAAGTCATCAATTTGGAGATGTCATGCAAAGGAAGCATACCTCAAATCCACTGGTGTGCCCACCACGGAGGCACGGACCATGCAGACCAGGGTCCTGGGGCTCCCTCCCTGAGCCCCAAAGCATTCCAGCTTCAGAAACCTGGAAACCATGGAGTTTAACTCGAAGCAGCTGAATAAATAGAACTAGAGGGAAGCAGGTTGTCAAGCCTGGGTGAGGAAGAACATTCTAGCAACCAGTACATTCATCCAGTGAACCAGCAGCCTCCAGATGGTAAGAGCCCATCTGTGGCAGGTTGTGACCAGGGACTGTGCATCCCCCCCTCAGTCCTGCCCAGACAGGAAGTCTTTCCCAATGACCATTTAGGCTCCTCCAAGTTGTAATGTTCAGGAATGAGCTGAGGTTCACAAAGGAGGACTTCAGAAATTGCATGACACCTAAGTCCACCACAAACTAAGAAAGAAAAAAAAAAGGATTCCATATCCTCAAGGGGACATGTACACACAAGCACAGTAAAAACTAGTGGAACGTGACGTTGTAATCTGGTTAACATTGTTTTCAAATGTCATTTTCCTAGTTTCCATGCTGTATACAGCAGTGTCTCTCAACCTCCTGGGGATGTTTGGCAATGTCTAAAGACATCTACGGCTGTGACAATGACAACTGGGGGAGGGTGCTACTGACACTCAGTGGGTCGATGCCAGGGATGCTGCCAACATCCTCCAACACGCCAGGCACAAACCTCCTTGGACCTGCACACAGTTGGTCCAAGATGTCACGGTTGCCACTGCTGAGAAACTCTATGCTACAGTTAGCTAAGGTTTATCCCTGGAGGAAACTGTGGAGTGGGGTGGTGGGACCTCACTGTGCTATTTTTTCAATTTCCTGTTAGTCTGTAATTATTTTAAACTAAAAACTTAAATAAATGTTTTCAAAGATTTCATCCCACTCTGTATATCAGGGTTCTCCTCGTGGAAGACGCAGTATTATCCAAAATGCCTGGGACCAGAAGGGTTTCAAGCTTTGGAATTTCTTGAATTTTAGAATATTTGCATATACCTGATGAGATATTGTGGAGATGAGAATCAAATCTGAACACAATATTCATTAATGTTTATATTCCTTGTACACATAGCCTAAAGGTAATTTTACACCTTTTTAATAGTTTTGCATATGAACCATTTCGTGGTGTGGAAGTTTCCACGGTGCCACCTTAGCGCCCAGCCCGTATTTGGTACCCAGTGTGCAACATCCACCCAGTGCAGAGATTCAGCCTGTAGGCTGGGGCCCTGTGTTCCCTCCTCCATAAGAACCTTTCCAAGATAATATGACACCCTGCTTACAGGCTGCTTCAGCAGCCACTGAAGAGATGCACACTCCTATGGCATCGTGAGCAGTGTTCAGGTCAAGGCCCCACTCCAAGTGGGAAACCATTGTTTCCTAGCACAGTTTAACTGCACAAAACTGACCCCCTTCATCTAGATCACTTTTAAACCTGTCTCTCCCACTACTTGAGGTCCAGATCTACTGAGTGAACACCAAAATTTAAAACCAAATTTTAAAAAAATAGTAATAAAACCAGCCACAAAATAAAAATGTGAGATAAGAGTCCCAACCCACGGATGACCCTCGTGGAGAGGAGCTCTAGAAAGCCTCACACAATTCAATGGAAATAGCAGAAAGCTTGGAAGCAGCTCCCCAGCAGGCCAGCTTCCTAAGATAGTCTGGAATTCTCCAGGACCTGTTTTGGGTTTGGGGGACCCCGTCTGGGTGGATGCTAAAGGCGCATTTCCTGCAGGAGCCAGGGCTGGCTATTCAATAGGAATAAACAGCTTCTTGCCCCACAATCAATCTCTATCTGCAAGACGACTTTCCAAAAGCAAATGACATCCTTCTTGCAGATTAGGGTGCACCTTGATTTCTCCTTCAGAGACCCCATTCCAACACCAACAAGTGCTATCTGTGCTCAAAGGACAAAGGAGAGCCACATCCCCATATCTGAGTCCACAGACACTGCTGAGGGCAGGTTGTGACTTTCTGAGCTATTTTCTTTAGTGGAGACAGCTGTCTCAGGAATGATGGCTAGTCACTAATAAGAGTCCCCCCAAAACAAATTGGCTCACTAGGCAGGCCCTAAACATCAGCATTGCCCAAGCTCCCTTATTTATTTATTTTATACCCCATACTCTCATACTTCTACCTCTGACTGTTTTCTCCAAGTCCCCCAGTTTCCATGAGGTCCATGAGGGTAGGGGACAGGTTGTCTTACACTTTCTATCCCAAGGGTCTCCCCAGCACCTTGTGCTGAACAGGTTCTTAGGGATGAAAGAAGGGCTCCCAGGAGAGTGAGAACACCTGTGAGGTGCAGGTGCACTAGAAGCTACAGTCAAAAGGCTTTTGCAGCAATGGACAGAGTCAGAGGCAGCAGCAGGTTCTACTAGTCTTCCTATCTGCAGGTGAAGAAGTTAAGGCTCCAGAAGCAGAGCCAGGAGCCCCAGACCCCCAATTTGGTGAGCCCAAGACCTGGCTGGTAAGCAGTCTGAAGCTTCAGCCACCTTTCCCTACCACCACCCCAGGGACTACCAGCAGCTAGCCATGCTAAGCACATAGCAGATAAAACAACAACAACAATCCATGCAAATTTGACTCCAACCATTAAACCAAAGAGCACAGGAGAAGGACTTTCAAATCTCCCATGTCAGCAAGTGACACTGAGCAAGTTACTTCAACTGTTAGTGCTGCCAGTTCCTCGTCAGTAATTCAGCAAGGACATCCACCCTCCAGAGCCACAGAAAGAACATATGAGTCTGGTGCACATAAAGACCAGTCACGGTCAGCATCCTACAAGTGGGAGCCTCTCTGTCCACTCCCATTAGCAGCCACTGGGGCTTTTACACATCTTAATTCCCACAACTTTCCCACTGGAAACAGTGGGAAATCTGGATGGTTCAGTTCAAAGTCACACAACTCATAGAGCCACCTGTGAAACACGGCAGGGCCTCATGTATGTGTAAAGAGGATGCTCAGGTAGGGACACCTTCTCAAGAGTGTCCCAACCACCACTTCCCTGCTACCCTCACTGGTGACTTTCAGGAGCAGTTTAGCCAAACAAAGGTGTCATCTTCTACGCCTGGGCTCTGTGACGGCGTCCCTGTGCTTCAAGAAAGGCTCCTGCAGGGTTGGAGAATCTGGCCAGAGCCCTGGTGGAATGGCCCTTGCTCATTCCCCATTGCTGAAACACAAAGCCTGCGGCATGCACGATGAGCAAGGACCACTGGAAGGGACAATTGAGGGAGAGTTCCACCTCACAAGGTTAGTGCAGTGAACCAAGTGGAAGTCATTCCCAAGACAGGGCTGGCAGAGACAGGAGGGATTGGAGAAGGGTGTGAGGGTCAGATGGAAACAGCCCACTCCAGGCTGCCAGCCCCAGCAGAGCTTTCCAGGACTCAGGCAGCCTGGCCTCCCCACTATGGTACACCTGGGGCACTGGGTCCTGAGCCGCACAGGGTCCCCAGCTGGGGCTGTATGGGCCATCTTGCCCCAACTGGGTGGAGGATTCAAGGGACCCACTGACAAGAGGAGGGAGGGACTGAGAGTGACACAGGCTGGGTAAAGGCACTCTGGCAGAACTTTCCACAGAGGGCCACCTGCCAAAACAGGCCAGTCATTCACATGGCCAGAAAGGAAATTCACTCTCAAGAAAACGCTGCGTGTGAAGACTGAGGAAGAAGGCAGAGCAGGAGGAAGTGCCCAGCAGAAAGATCCTCTGCCCACAGCAATGTCAAGCTTGGGGGCAAAAGGGTCCTGGCTCCCCCGGCAGCTTCCCAATGTCCGTGCTCTGGTCCCACCTGAAGAGACTGAGCGGGAGTGATCCTTGCAGCTCAATGTGGGGAGCGCAGAGCACCAAGGAGGCAGATGAAGTCCCCAGGGAGGCGTGGGCACCACAGGAGGTTGGCTGGAAGCCAGTGTCCCCTGGAGGCCAGCGATGTACGGGCAGCACCCCCCCCCCCCCCCCCCCCCCCAGCCAGCCCCTGCAAAAAGTTACCTGGTGGAGGCGGAGGCGACTCTGCGTATAACTTTTCCCTTTTGGGCGCTTTCTTGGGCTTGGTGGCCCTGGTGGGCGGCCTGGGTTGGGGCGGGCGCGGCTCCCGCTCCTCCTCCCCGGGCCCCTCGGGCAGCAGCGGCGAAAAGGGCTCCAGCTCGGGCTCCGGGCGCTGGTCGTGGGGCTCCCGGCTCCAAAGTTCCTGCACGTAATAGTCGGGGTCCTCGACGGTCGCGCGCTGGGCTCCGACCCCAGCCGTGGCCACGGCCAGGAGCGCCAGGACCAGCGCGGGCGAGGCGGCCCCCGGGCCGGCCATGCCCGTTCCTCCTCGCGCCCTGGCCAGGGTCCCGGCCACCGGAGCGCCGGCGGGCCGCGGGCAGACGAGGCGCGGGGCAGGGGCGCAGGCACTGCAGCGGGCGCGGGGCGCGGGAGTCGGCGGCCTGGCGGGTGTGACCGGCCCTCCCGGGCGGGGCTGGGCCGGGCCGGCGCGGGGCGGGCGCAGGGGCTCGTCCCGCCTCCCTCCGGCCCCGGGTCCGCCGTCCCTCAGCCCCGCCGAGTCCACAGGTGTTGGAGTCCTGCCAGCCTCGAACTGTGCCCGACCTTTCTCTTCCATCATGCTGGCCAGCGTGCTGCCCCGCTGGGCGCCCCTTTCCCCTGGAGTCCGGAGTTCCCCGCTAGAAGAAACTTCCAGGCATCTCTCATATTCCTTCCTTTTACAGGTGGAGAAACGTGCCCCTAGCGGAGACCAGACTGGCCAGTGGTGCAAAGGCAGATAGAGCCCAAGGCCTGCGCTTCTGCCCTCCTGCTCCGCCCGGCCCGCCCCATGCGCCAGACCTGCTGGCTCAGGAGCAGTGAATGAGGAATTCCGGAGGTCCCTGGGGCCTTCGATAAACCTCCCTCTGGGCAGGGCCTACTGACCCTGGAGGACACTGTGTGTGATTCGTTGGAGAAAGAATGAAGTCACCCCAAGGACCACCATCCCAGAGTTCAAGAGGGGACATTTGATAGTCCTGAGAGCAGGTCTGCCCAGAGTCCCCTGCTCTGCCTCCTTTCCCGAAAGTGCCTCCCACCTTAGACCACTGTGTGCAGGTTTTTCTTATGTAGGGAGGGACCCCACCATCCTCTCACTTATACTCTCCAGACTCGGGGTGTTTGGGGAACCAGGAACAGCTCTGCATTTCTTTTCCTACCTCAAAAAATCCCAACAAACTCTGTGACTTAAAGCAACACCTGCTTATTACCTGGAAACTCTGCAGGTCAGCAGCCTGACTCGGGTGTCTCCGTTTAAAGTCCAGGTGTGGGCAAGGATGGGGTCCTCTGCCAGCCCTGGAGGAGACTCTGCCTCTGAGCCCACTCAGGAAAGCTGAAGCTGGTCAGTTCTGGCAGTTGTTGGACGGGGGTCCTGTTTGCTTTCTGCCTATGGAAGCCAGACTTCACTGTTGTTGACTGTATCCCTTCCAGGGCTTTCCACAGGGGCTGGAGGCCTGTCTTATCCCTGCACATGAGCCTGAGTCTCAGAGCCAGTACTGGCACATCAAATCCACCGCACAGCTTCAAATCTTCCACTTTTGCCACATCTTTCCTCCTTGCAGTGAGAGAAATTCTTCACTTTAAATGGCTTATGAATTAGAGGGGCCCACAAGTAATCCAGGACCTCCACCCTCTCTCCAGGTGCTGACCTTAATCTGTCTGCAACGTCCACTCTGTAATTTAGTCACAGGTTCTAGGGATTCAAGTACAGCCATCTTTGATGGCTGACATAGGGACAAAGGACTCTCTAGCCATGGGTTGGGCTCTCACCTTCCCAGTTCCATTTGCCTTGGGATGTGATTCCAGATACCACGGAGTTGAATCTGGATACCAGTGCAAGGCCTCCATCTTCCCCTGGGAGCGTGGGGAGTCCCATTTCTGAGCCCCACAGTGGGCAGAGCTTGAGCCAGGAGAGTTGCCATTCTCTGCCCAGGCCCCTCTTACCACCTCATTCTCCCTCATTGCCCACCTAAGCCACCCAGCCAGGCCATTCTTTGGGGCAGTTTTCTGGGTTTCTAGGTCAAGTCCAAAGCAGAATGGCCAGGTGAGAAGGAGGGCTGCAGGTGAGACAGTGCCTACTGGGAAGCACCAGGATTCTTGGACCTGACTGTCAAACCCCCGGGACATTCTGGAATACAACCAGCAGAGATTTCCAGAGGGAAAGGGGAAGAGACTCCCTCCCTCTCCTGACGTTCCAAGCAGTCTGGGATGGGCTGGATCCCACCGGCTCCTCCATGATGTGTCCCCAGAGCTCACTCACAGGATCTGTTTTATCTGAAGCCAACTACCCCAGACAATGGGACAGGTCAGCATGGGGCTTCAGTGGCAAAAAAAGAAAGAGGCTCCGCAATGAGCCACACACCTGGAGGTCCCAGCTAGCCTGGTAGCCCCCGCCAGAGGAGCTGCAGAGATTGCCCAGGCCAAATGTGTGCCCTGAACCACCTCATCAGAGCCCTAGGGCTCCCTAAGCATGCAGACAGATGCCAGGCCCACCCAGACCTAAGGACCTCCTACGGGTGGGCTCAGGCACTCCCACCTCTATAAAACACCTCAGCTAACCCACAGAGTTGCATTTTACAGAGGAGGCTGAGGGCCCAGACCCACCCCAGGAAGCCAAGGTCAGGAGGGAACTCGGCTTCGTTGGTAGTTCAGCATCAGGCTGAGTAAATCTTGGCAGCCCCAATCCATGAGTTCCTAAAACATTGTGCTTCTTTCCTGACACTTCTAAGGTAAATAATAGAACACAAACCTGTACTGTAGTGTCTGGGAAGCATCCAGAGAATGTCCCCAAGTGTGATTCTCGGCACATCCCCGGAATCAGGAAACAGTCCCCCTCTGGCTGTGTGTGCTTGTTTGTTTTCCCTGGAGAGACACATAATTAAAGCAAGCAGAACAAACAGAATGGGAATTGATTGCAGCATGCCAACTCTCTGGGGACTGCAGTCCATGGCAGTTCCTGGAGCGCCCTTTGTCTGCCTCTCTCTGGGGCTGCATGCCTGGAGATTGGTGGGAACAGTCAGAGTTCACAAGTGAAGGAAGAGAGGGTGGCAAAGCTGAGCTCATTCTCCTGGTCTCCAAGCCTCTTTTTGCCTCCCATCTTCTGCGTGGCTGCCCAGGAAGGGCACTGAATTCTTCTGCATCCCCAGTGAAGCCTTCCTAGGTCACCTTTGTGTCCCATCTATCCTTTAGCCTCTGCTATAGCTGACCCATCAAAAGTCCCAGGGCCTCTTATTCAACTTATTCTTCAACTCACCTCCTCTCCTGTTCCCACTACCACTCTTTTAGTTCAACGTTCAGAACACAGAGGCCCAAGCCAGAATATTGGAATACTGCTCACGGGGTGTCCCTGCTCTTGCTACTCTGACTTGCCATTTACCCTGTGCTCAAGGTTCCCAGCTACTCTCCATGTACAACATCACCCCCTACTGAAGAGCCCACGCAGGTCTAATCTCTCTCCGTCTCTCTCCTTTCAGTGGGCAACAACAGTAATGCCTACTCTTTATGGCTTCCTGCACAGCATCTGTAAACTCTTTTAAACTAGTGATTATTATAACCTACTAATTTTATATCCTCCAAGAAACCAACAGAGTTCAAGAAAGAAAATCCTCAGTGACTCCTTGTTGCATGTTGGCTAAGATCTTCCATGGCATCAAAGAGGGTTGCTTTTTTTTTGACCTTTGTGTTCCCAACCTAACAATGTGTCTGTTTAACTTCAGTCTTGGACCCTACCCAAAGGGCTGTGAGCATCTCTTGAAAGCATAAGTGAGCTAATGCCGAGGATTCTGGACGACAGTCATGCTATAAAACCAGACACTCCCACTGGGAGCAGCAGCTGGGCTGAAGGAAACCTAAATGGCAGCTCAGATCCCCGGTTTCTGAGTTCCCAAAACAGTGTTCATTAAAGGCAAGCCATTGTCTGCTTCCCTTGAGAATCCATTAATGCATTTCTGTTAAGCATGATAAGCCAATGTTTGTCTGCTCATTCATCCCTCAGACTCAGGATGCTGTTAAGCCAGTTTCTGTTATACAACATAAATCTGTGCTTGTCAAATAATCCTCAAACACCTTACACAGCTAATAATTGTTCAAATATTTATGAGCCCCACAGAGGAGATTTATGTTAAGCTGCTTGACAAGGAACAAGAGCCTGTGCAGGTCCAAGGAACAGTCTGTTGAAACAAATATTGCCAAGACATCAATACTTTCCTAGCATTTTTCATAACGGACTTTTGCACCTGCTCATTTCCCTAATTATCCCTGAAGCTTTACACTTTCAGAGAGAGAACAAAAATGGAATTTTTTGAAAGATCAGTAATTTGAAAAATTAGCTTCTATATAAAGAAAAATACATACTCAGGCACAGCCATTTCTAAAAATACGGTCTGGAGATGGATGCTTAGGGAGAGATATCAAGTTGTTATGGCAACTATGATTATAATTATGAAGCTGGAGGGTTTTCCCGTTCATTACTATGTTGAGATGTGGTGATTTAAATGGCAGCGTCCTTTGTAATATCCTCAATCTCATTACTACATAATTACCCATTTCATATTTAATCTTCGGTGTGTTTGTTCTTACTCCCGTGCCCTGTGGAGTTGGCATCTTTTGACAAGCCTTATTCTTAGTTCATGGGTCCCACTTGCACCTCAGCTCCTCTCCTCGCCATTGCCTCTACTCTGTGATTTCATTTTCACTTTGACCTCTGGGGAGACTTGCTTGGGCATGAGCTAGTCCATTTGTAAACAAGAAGACACTGCTAGGAAAGTTGTTAAGAAACCACCCCAACAGACATGTGGGGAGATGCTCAACTGAGCATCCTAGGAAATCCAGAATTTCTTGTTTGCCTACTGTGTGCAGGATTATTTACAGCAGCAATGATGCTTCACCTCTGTGTTGGCTTTTCTGAGTGCACCCCTGGGTCTCCAACCCTCTTGCCCTCCTGTATACTGGAGGCACCCCCTTGAGGACTGAGGGCCAGGGTCCTCTGGTTTCTGATTGGCATTGGCCAATGGGAGGTGCCAGCAGGAGGTAGGAAGATGAGAGGAAGGGGAGGAGGTTTGAGTATTTCCTCCCCTTGACCCCAACCCTTTCCCATCCCTGCCCCTGGGGACCTGCTGGTGGCTGCATTTATTCACTACCCTGGAGTCCTTTTTCTCAGCCCCAGTTTTGGAAGCCTGTGGGTGGTAATGACTTCCTGCAGGCCTGAGCCTGCAGCAACTAGGTTCTGGTACCTCAGTATCCCTCACGTGTCCCCTCATCCCTGCCCACACCTCTGAGCTTAGTCAT